TTCTGGTACCGAAGATAATAGTTTAAATATTATCAATAATAGATGAAGGGTTAGGATCAGATATTCTCGTAGGATGATGGATACATGACAGGAAGTTGTTCAAGTAAAAGTTATTAATGAATTCATTTGAGGGTGTATGGGTATAGTAATTAAGAATATTAATATTAAAATCGCCCATTACAAAGACATGTTTGCTAGATAGATTGGGAAGAATAGACTGGAAACAAGTAGAAAGGCTTTCTACATTTGAATTTGGATGTCTGTGAGTACAACAAAGTAGTATATTCTTGTCAACCTCAACCTTTATTGTTTCAAAATCGTTAGACTTGCCCTCCTAGGTATAAAGATAAACTACATCTGGTGTCCTGGGTAAGACGATAAACTACGTCCAACAGTAAGGCCTCTGATCAGGAGGTTTTGAGAAGCGTGGAACCATCTCTGAATTGCTGGTGTTCTCAGGTCCATCCTACCCGGGGTGGTAGCACCAGTTAGGGTCCCAGCTAGGGGTAAATGGTTAACCCCCAAACTGGGGTTAAAACACTATGAAAGTGTAAAAATAGGCTTAAATACCAGAAATACTTTGTAAAAAATTATCGCCAGCAATAAATTTTTGAAGAAAAATTATTACCAGAAATACATTTTTTAAAAAAAATAATATCAGCTATACATTTAAAAAAAAATACCAGCAATACATTTTTGAGAAAAAAAAATATTACCAGCAATAAAAATGTTGTCAGCATTAAATAACCCATCGAGGTTGATATGCCATAAAACAAAACTAAGCAAACTATACATTTTTTGAAAAAAAAAAAAAAAAAAATACCAGCTATACATTTTTCGAAAAAATATTACCAGCGATGCATTATGAAGAAAAAAAATATTACCAGAGACAGATTTTTGAAGGAAAAAATATTACCAACAATATATTTTTGGCAAAAAATAAAAAAATAAAAAATACCGCCAATAAAAATTATCGACATTAAATAACCCATTGTGGTTGAAATGCCGTAAAACAAACCAAACCCAAACCAAACGTTAGACTCGTAATTTAAATCATCACGAGTATTGAAACGAAGAGATAATTTTGCAGCGTGTCTCTCTGGCGATGGTTCGAGGTAATGCTTTCTCCATCATTGCGGCTGGCAGAGGTTAGAAAAAATTGTTTATTGTTACGTTGTTCTGGAATTGTCATCAGTGGTCAACTGTAATTGTTTTGTTTCAATAAATTTTAATTTGTTAAAAAAATAAATACTTTCATAAATTTGATATATAATTCGGTAACGTTATTTTGTTTAAGAGATGTAATTTTGAAGAATCTATCTCCGGCGATGTTAATATTAGTCACTATGAGGTTTTTTAATGGAATCCCATATTTCTGATACTCCAGTTACATCAAATGACCTCTTTGGGAGGGCAGCTAAAGAAATGAATTCATGTAAAAGAGCTAGGCTTCTTATATTAGTGTGTAGAATAGAGAGACTATGCGCTTTGGTATGAAGCGAGGTTAGTTCAGCAACAGTGAAATACCGTGAATTAATGGGTTTGAGGAATGAGTTCATCAATATCATAGTCACCTAAACTAAGCATTTTGGAAAGACTTGAAGTCATTTCAAAGGTAGGAAGACTATTACTGAAGGAAGACACAACATTATCATAAGTTTGAAAGATCTTCATTAGATAAATCATAAAAAGGAAAAACAGAGTTGTAATATTTTGAAGTTACTTCGGAAATTGAATCCAGAAAAATATAGAACGAAAAAATAAATATAGAGCGGTTTAAAGGATTTATAGAGCTTGATAGAGCCCCGCATTTAAATAAAATAATAAAAAAAGAAAGAAAAAAGAAATTGAAATTACACTACAAAACATCAATAATTAAATTAATAAAAAAACAAATAAAAATCAAGCAACAAAACATTTAAATAACCAGTTACCAGAATTTTTAGCCCCATTTACATACCATGCTCCTCTAGAAAAGAAACATTTATTTTCCTTTTTATGCAGTCCATCAATTTCTTTTGAAAATTTCTTTTTATTACCAGATCTTTCTTGGTAAAATCTTCGTATAAAGTATCTTCTTTGATTCAACACTTCCCGTCTCTCCGTTCGTCGAACGAAACTTATAATAATGTTTCTGTTTCTCCCCTCCTCCTCCTCACATACACAATGATAGTTTTCAATGTCAATTTGGTTGAGATTTTCAATACCACTATAGCTATTTTTGTATCTCTTCAGGACATTGGTGATCATCGCTCTCCATAATTTCCTATCCTTTGTAGCTCTTAGTAAAGTTTGTTTTTTTTACTATCTCCCCATAACCCCTGTTCTGCCCACCATATACACAATCTCGTTACTTAAGTTATTCGCTGCTTTCCTCTGGCCCTCTAACCTTCAATGTGTTCTGTGAGTGTCAAATTCTCCAAGACCTCTTTCCTCGTGATGAGCCCTAGAAATTTCAACTCTCTCTTTTTGATGCTAAGAATGTGTCCTTTTTTTCCATTTTCTGTAAAACTTAATCTTTGTTTACATGTTCAGTCTATGGTATTCCCGGCATCCTTCTGTAGAATCACATTGCTGTTGCCTCAAGTTTTTTCTTCATCTGTGAGGAGATTGTCCAGCATTCAGTGACATATAGGAGGACTAATATTACATAACAGTTTAGTACTCTTTTCTTTGTTTCTAACGAAAGTTTTATGTTTCTCAATACTTTGCTTAACTTTTGGAAGGCATCTTTCGCTGTCACATTGTCTCGTCCTCTGTTAAAACACTTCCTAGATAATTAAATTGTTATACTGGCTTGATTTTGTTATCTACTCTTTATTTTCAATTGCATTAATTATCAAATACACGTTTCCATTTTAGGAAATGATAATGCATAAAGAAATAAAAAAAAGTATTACCAACGCATAAATTCTGAGTCAAATAAAAATAAACATTAAAATAAAATTGTTACAAAAACAAAATATCTTTCTGAAAATTCAATAATTAGATGGTTTTTCATTTCTTTTTATTTTAACATCTTCCTCAATATTTTATTGGAGACAGAAGATTGATATCGCGGAAATAAAATAAGGAAGAAAAAATATTTAAAAAAAAAAAAAAAGAGAAGAGATTTTTCTTCCATTTTTGATTGCGAAAAGTGGAACTAAAATTGAGCCGCGAGGCTTGGAACTTGAAGCAAAGATCAAAAAGCTGTCTTAACACGTGAGAGAGAACGCAGCCCTATCGGAAGTAAAAATCATTAAAACTCTAACGACTCTCATAGCAGAAGAACAGCTATTGACTGAAGACTGTCAAACTTCTAAAACTATTTGAAAATCGATCTAAAATTCTTTAAAAAGAAAAAGAGAAACAAAATATTCTATTAACAACAGTGGTTGTCAGTATTTACAAAGCTTAGCTTACTAAATTCGACAAAAGGACCTAACTACATAAGTATAGAACAAACAACAAGAACTGAAGTTAGAATTGAAGTAACGAGATGGAAAAATAGTTTGCTTATATACGATCTCATGCCAAGGCAATAAACAACCTTTTCTGTCTGCCACCAACATGGTTGATGGCAAACAACGTTCTACGCGTTCTTGTCCTTCACGTTTTCCACTGACATCAGTGACTATATCAAATCAATAGCTGCATCCACTGTTCCTTTTTGTGTCCTTTCCCCAATCCTCCCCATTCTCAGTCTTCCCATTCTCTTCCACTCCCTGTAACGCCCCCCTCCCCTACGTTCTATTGGCATCATCGCCTTGTTTGGGATGAAGCGATAAAAAAAAATGATTTTTTTTACTAGAATGCTTTAATTTTAATTCAAACTTTTGCTTTATTATTTTATTATTATGTTTTTTATTATTTATGTTTTGATCGATTGATTGATTCGTTTTTTTATGGTTTATCAGTCGTTTGTAGGTTATTTAAAGCCATAGAATATTTTTAGACTGTAAGATTTGTAACTATGGATTAATTAGTAAGACTTGTATCATTGCTAGTGGCCCCCACTAACAATGATACAAGACTTACTAATTAATCCATAGTTGGAGGAGAGAAGAGGTGAGTCTTTGTGCGTAAGTGACTGCAATCGGAACTCGCCTCTCCGATGAACAATTTCGAGCCATTATCCATTAAAACACCCGCACATTCAAGCTTACAGTACCTGGTATTCCCAAGTGGTCACCCATCTGACCGATCTCGACATTCCTTAACTTCGGTGATTGTACGGGGAACCAATGTTTCAACGCAATATGGCCGTAAGCTATTATTAGATGTACATTGCCAACCATTACTCATTTTTAACTTGTATTTCATCATAATTTCAGTTGCTTTACCTCACAACTATACAGACTGTCCTTTTCTTATTTTATTATTAGATGAAGTCTTGTCCGCCATTATTAATTTTTAACTAGTATTTCTTTCATTTTAATTTCAGTTTCTTTTCGAAGAAACTATTCAAAATATTATTCTATCATTATTTTATTATTAAATGAAGTATTGTCAGTCATTATCAATTTTTAACTGATATTTCTTGCATAATAATTTCAGTTGCTTTTCATTGCAACTATTCAGATGTTATTCTATTATTAATAATATTGTATCATTAAATGAAGCATTGCCAGCCATTATTATTCTTTTGGCTAGTATTACTTCCATATTAATTTATATTACTTTTCATTGCAACTATTCAGACTGCCATTCTATTATTAGAGGAAGCTTTGTCAGCCATTATTAATTTTTAACTATTATTTCTTTTAACTTTAGTTGCTTTTTCCTGCAACTATTCAGACTGCCATTCTATTATTATTAGATAAAATATGGTTAGCCATTATTAATTTTTGACTTGTTTTTATTTCATTTTAGTTTCCTTCACTTTTCATTGCAACTCTTCAAACCGTCAAATCCTGATCTATTTTGTTCATTAAGACAAAGCAGATCATAAATAAGGAATAAATCCTGGGCGAAAATTTGAGCTCGCTAGCCTTTTACCTCTGGTCGCATATCTTACAATGCTCCACCATCTGAACTTCGAGTCAACAGCGAGAGGGAGATCAACTTTTTTTTTTTTTTTAATTCCTTCTTTGTTCTCTTCTGTCATCAATCTTCCACATTCTTTCTTTCTTGTCGTTTTCCCTCATCCCCCTTTCACAATCTTTCTTCTTTTCTTTGTTGTTCTTTACTCTCACCCCACTTTTCCCTCTCTTTCTCTCTTTGTTGTTCTCTTCTCTCATTCCCTATTTTACATTTCTTTCTCTCTTTTTTCTCTTCTCTTCTCCTTTATCACTGAATGGAACAGTGCCGGCCACCTGAAGAATGCGTGCATAGCACACAGGAAACTGACGGTCGTGGTTGGTCAGATAATGCTATATAGTAGGGTGGATTGAAAACCCCACAGGCTGACTGTGAAGGAGTGATGCTAGAGCTGTAGAATCTTGCATGCATTAATTTCGATCAATGTTTTCCTCGATGGTAGTAGTTGCAGAACGACCATATTTTGGACCAACTTCAAGACTCTTCGTTCCCCTCCTAAATTCACGTGCCCTCTTTTGTACTCTTAATAAAGCTGGAACCATGTCAGCATGAATGTCCTTGGGAGGTAAACACTTTTTTGTGCAGGTACTCGATAACATTACGATACCAAATTTTGTCTATTTTCAAGAGAAGTCGCCACTAGTTACATTTGAAGATTTTTTTTGAACACCCAGACATCACTTTACCTTGAAATAAGCAATACAGTTATTAATAAGAAGAGTTGAAATTAATGCATGCAAGATTTCCCAGCTCTAACATTACTTCTTGGTTTTCGCGCCAGAAAGATTTTCTCGCCCGAGTCCTTCCTTCAAATCTATAAATCAACCCTTCGCCCTTGCATGGAATATTGCTGTCATATATGGTCCCTCGCTGTTTGTCTTAGAGTCATCGACAAAATCCAGAGACGGATATGCAATGTGATTGGCCCTGATCTGGTATCTCGTTTACAGTCGCTCTCTCATAGACGTGCCATCGCCTCCCTCTGTCTTTTCTACAAATACTTTTATGGTAACTGTTCCGACGAGCTATTTTCACTAGTTCCCAAACTACATGAATTTAAACGTGCCACTTGGTCGGCATCCCAGTCCCACCCTTTCAGTGTCGAAACGGTTAACTGTAGCCGTCTCGTCTACTTCAATAGCTGCATGTCTCGCACTTCCGGTCTGTGGAACCCATCCTCTTCTCCAACTATTCAAATGCAATGTCAATCGACATCTCAAGATGTCTTGCTCTATTCCCCGTCCTTCTCTTCATCCTTTCCTCTTTCACGCCTCTTTACTCTCGTTCCCACTCTCTCTAACCCCCTTACGTTCTGGTGGCACTTCCGCCTTGCTTGGGGTAAAAAAAAAGAGAAAAAAAAGCCGATGAATTTTCAGGCCGTGATTCCATGTATATAATATGACCGGTTACTCGTTTCCGATCGCAGCCGCCTGCTAGGACGACTAGCCAATCCCTGTTGCAGACGTCAGGCACAGTTGTGCTCGTTCAACACCCACTAAGAAAAACTTATGGTTTTTAATACAACTAGGCTGAGTAGACCTTAGGCTATGTGCCGCTCCTTAGGTGTGGGGGGCAGGGTTCCACACCTCACAGGAAGGAGTTATGTCAGAGTAGACTTGATCGGACCACTGGTCAGTCAGACTGGAATCGACTTTTCTTATATGTGAGCTTTAGGATCATATGTGGGCACAGTACTCTGCAGGGAGGGGAGTCTGCCGGCCTTCATGGATCACTCCTGTAAGCAGCCGATATGCGACATAACTAACGACAGAAAAAAACCAAAAAAAACAAACAGGATCTTCGGAGTTTCTTTTGCAGGTGCCGCGTCCGGCAGGGGGAGAAAAAGGTATCTCTCCGGCCGTCAGGATTAATATGATCCGAATGCAAAGTAATTCACCAACTTTGCACTCAACATTCTGTCTCCATTCTAGTCGTCCAAGAAACGCAGACGAAAAACTGAAAAATACCTAGAAATATACGGATAAACTGTTGTAGATATCATCAACAGTCCTATGCATTGGCGTAGCCGCCCTCGTCAAAGTCGGCATGTCAACTAGGCGAATAGCCAAGTTCACCACTAACGATTCTACGAAATGGATTGCCAACTGTATCACTGATGACTTAACCGTTGTTAATGTATATAACCCACTGCATACGCCATTCAAGGGTCTCCTAGTATTTCAGCACGCAGTTAGACAATCTGGAGACTTCAACTGCCATCATACTAGCCAGAGCTATAGAACCAATAATGACGATTTCAGATTGATCGTCCAACGCCGATCCGAAACTACTATGCAATCACAGGTTTCCGAAGATAATTTATTTTTCCATCTCGAAGACACACACACACACAGACACAGACACACACACACACACACACACACACACACACACACACACACACACACACACACACACACACACACACCTTTGACAACGTTTCACAGCCAAGATCTGGCAAGCGGATTGCCATATCCAACTCACAGTCGGTGACAATTCACCTCCTTGACAAATCTCCCATAGTGAGTTTCGAACCTGGGGCTTATGATTGGAAGGCGAACATTCCAATCACTGGGCCAATCGATATATATATATATATATATATATATATATATATATTCAATGGTTCGCTAAAAATTATCATAAACCATGAAGAAATGGCACAAACTTAATAAAAACCTTTTGGTTAAAAAAGCTTATTTTCAAGAAATTCATTTTTATAAGGCTTAGTTATAGACAGAAATCCTTAGAGAATTTAAATCATCAAATTAATTTTTTAAAACAAAACTTTCAGTTACAAAAAGATCTGCTGTAAATCGTAAAATAAAAATTGCAGTAAAACTAAGATATTTAATTTGAAATTTTTTTTAATTGCTTTTATGAAACGAGATATATTATGGACAATATTGTCTTTAAAAAATTTTCGATGAGTAATGAAATTTTACAAGAATTGTTTTCGTTTTTCAAAAATTTTAATTAGATAATTTATAAAGTTTTAAATCTTTTAACATTCTATATTAATTTGTACTGGTTATGTGATATTGTTATTAAATATAAACTATATCTATTAATCATAAATGTAAAAAGTTACTATAATTCAGCGGCCCCAATATTTTAAAAAGATTTTTGAATTTTTTTTTTTGTGTGTATAAATGTGTCGATTTTTGTATATATGGACGTTCATACACAATATAACCACAAAATAAAAGCGGTGACTAATAAATTTAAAGACAATGTACCTAAAATTCAATAAAACATTAGATTACTCATAAAAGGACCCACCCCCGTCTAAAATATATGCTTTTCTGCGATATTTTAAACTTAAAGTAATATTTGTCTCAAATCAGAATAAATTAAAAATTAAATCAACTAATATTCCCAAAATAAAGTTTTAGAAAAGTACATTTTATTTTTGAAAGATGTTTTATAAAGAGAATTAAGTTGTGCAAAGAGAATTAAGTTGTGCAAAGAGAATTGTGAATATGGCTAAAATCAGCCATTTTTAGCGATAAAAAAAAAAACCTCATTTCAATCAATTCACACTAAGTTTGAAATACAGCCAAATATTTTGTTTATTGGAAATATTAAATTTAACCTATTTTGAAATTAAAACTAAAGTAAAAACTCCAAGAAAGTTTTTTCATTTAAAAAAAAAATCATTTTATACCTTAGGTATCGCTTTTCTTATATATATATATATATATATATATATGTATATCTCCATAGACATGCAAAGTAGACGAGGGTTAATACATCTTCCGTTTCAAATTTAGACACCCCCACCTTTCCCTGACTTGACATCTACGAAAGTAACTCTATACTGATACTTATTATTAACACCCAACACCCGCCTACCCAACTTAAACAATTCGCCCTAGCTGTTACCATGGAAATTTTGATTTCAATTTTTAAAAACACGTAAATTTCAGAAACACGTTATCCCCCCAAAAAAATTTCGCTTGAAGATGGAACAGAGCTTATTTTAACTCAATTTAATTTTAATAATTATATTGAAGTTTTTTTTCTTGTTTTGAAACATGGGACTTCTTATGTCGCGATTTGGAATAATATTTTTAAATAAATAATTATATTTATGCTCTACTTTTGTATCAAGCACTATTTTTTTTTTTTTTTTTAAAAATAATAACTAAAATACTAAGGGACTTTGGATTATTTACCTAACCAGTTCCTTCCTATTTTCTATAGGTTTTCAAATATTATATATATATATATATATATATATATATATATATATATGAGGGTGTGATGAAAGGTTATCTGCCTGACTTGACGTCCCCAAAACTGAACTGGATCCACGTCTATCTTTCTGAGTCTGCTCAAACCAAACCCATGTCTCCCTTTCTATTAATTTATTGTGGTTTTTAATATATAAAACTTCTATTGGACATTAAAAATCTAACAAGGGTTGATATATCGTTAAATTGACCAACCTCACTGATGGATCTATCGATCTTACATATTTTGTTCGAGTCCTTTAAATTTTTATAATCTCTTTCTCACTCCAGTGTATACACTTTCTTTTGATGGAAGTAAACTATGTAATTGGCACCTTAAAACAAAATCCCTGATAGAGATAAGACAGAGAGTTGTTTCCCTTAACGAAAATTATATACGCCCGATGGGGATGATGATGAAATAAATGCAAACAGTATTGTTTGTAAGCTTTTAGATAATTCATGATTAACAGAAGAGAAACATTTATCAGCCACTGATGGTGCTGCAAATAAAAAAAAAATCGACCCCAGTTTGTCCAATAACGCCTTCACCAAGGCATTTTTTAAAAATTTTTCTTGCTTCTCCTTTTTTTCTTCATTTTGCCATTCGGTCTCGTTCTCTTTCTCATAGTAGTTCTTTTTTTTCTTGGTCTTTTTAAAGAGTCCTCCCTCTCTCTCTCTCTCTCTCTTATTTCGTTTCGTTTTTCTATTTTTAAATCTGACTTGTTTTGTATTCTCTTTATCTACGTCCGACAGTTCGAAAGCTTTTTCTTTATTTTAAATTACTTTTCTTTTTTCAATGCTGTTCTCTTTTTTTCAACCCCATTTTATCATCATTCTTCTTCATTTCAGTTTTTATTTTCTTCCTTGTTGTCCTTTTCCCTCATCACTCTATAATCATCCATTTCTTTTCTTTGTTCTTTTCTCTCAACACTCTCTCATAATCGATTTCTTTCTTTTTTATCTGTCGTTCTTTTCTCAGACTTTTTCTTTTTCTTTTTTATTGTTCGCTTCTCCCCTCACCCTTTCATAATCTATTTTTCTTTTTTCTTTCTTTCTTTCTTTTTTCTTGTTCGCTTCTCTCATCACACTTTCATCATCTCTTCTTTCTTAACTGTTCTTGCCTCTCACTCTCTTCATAATCTCTTTCTTTTTTTGTTCTCTTCTCTCATCACTTTCATTAACGCTTCCTTCTTTCTTTGTTGCCCATTTATCAACTTCATCATCAATTTTTTCTTTATTTTCTTTGTTACTCTCTTTTCTCATTACTCTTTCATAATCTCTTTCTTTCTTTATTGTCTTTATCATCCGCTGTTTTTTTCATCTTCTGTTTCTTCTTTGTTCTCGTCTCTCATCACTTTCATCGCCCATTTTTTTATTTTCCTCTTTAATTACTTTCACATGCTTGCTTTTCTTTTCTCTTCGCTCATCACTTTTCATTTTGTCTTTTTTTTTCATCATTTTATTGTGTCTCTTATCGCTCTTTCATCCTCATCTCTCTTTCTTTTTCTTTTTCCTCTTATCGCTTTCATTTTCCTTTCTTTCCCTCTCCCCTTATCGCTCTCATTTTCTTTCTTTCGTTATTTTCTTTTTCTCATTTTATTTCTTTCATTTTTTCTTTCTTGTTCTCTTCTTTATTACTTTCTTTCGCTTTCCTTTCTTATTAGTTTTTTTCTTTCTTTGTTCATCTTGCAAATTACCTTTTTTTTTACTTCCTTCTTCTCCTCTGTCATTTCATCTTTCTTTAAGCTTTTGTTCTCTTCTCTTATTCTTTCTTTCTTTCTTTTTATTCATAGATCTTTTCTTGTTCTCTTTCTTACGCTTTTGCCCGTTTTCTTTTTTTCCTCACTCTCTCCTTATAATCTTTTTCTTATCTTTTTTCCGTTTGTTCTTTTCCACCCCTTCTAATTTTTTTCATCTTGTTATTCTCTACACGAACTTTTTCTAATCGCTTACTTTTTCTATTTATCGTTTCTTTTTATCACATTTGGCCAACGTTATTTTTTTATTTTTATTTTTTTTTTATCATTTTCCGTTCATTTTTTTTTTTTATAAAAGCGAAAATAAAGTAAATGAAGAACTCCTTCCACGCTAAAAAAGAAGATTGCAGGGGAAATAATTGAAAGAGAAAAAAATTCAGAAACACTTTAATGTAATTAAAAAAGAAGTAATTTTCCGAAAATATTCTTGATTTATGAGAATATCCTTCAATAAAATTTGTCAATTCTCCTCATCTGTGTCCTCTGAATTTTCCCGGCCTTCTGTAGTTTTCTCAGCAGCAGACGATAATAATTCATCATGGCTATAAATTACGAACGGTTTTCCCGTCTCATACGCAGACAGGGTCCCTTCACTTAATATGGTATATAACTGTGTCTGCTGATATGTCAAGCATAACACTATAAACCATACCATATATATATATATATATATATATATATATATATATATATATAAAATAATAAAAAATAAAAATGCATGTAATCTAAATAAAACGTATTATGCCTTCATAAAAATATTATATAGATATAAGTATATCGTAGTAAATACAATTAAATGGTCACTTGTCTTATCCTTCTTATGAGTTTCGCTGAGATTACATCCACTCCTCAGGGGACTTGATTGTAAAATCGAATTTATCTTCAGCCGTCATATATTTCTGAGCAATTTAATATATGACGATTGAAAACAATATCAATTTTACAATCAAGTCCTCTGAGTAATGAATGTAATCTCCACAAAACTCAGATTAGTAATAAGTGAACATTTAATTTTATTTATTACTATTAATGCCCTATTTCTTGATATCGATCGCTAACATTACAAAACTGGCTTGCTTTAAAAATATTATCTTCCAGATATCCTACTCAGCCTTTCTTTCAGGGAAACACAATCTTATTATATAATATAAAAGGCTCAAACACTAATATTCCATGGTTATAATTTATTACATTGGAATCGTAATCACGATCCAATTCATCAGACCTATAAATTCAAAAAGAAATCGGAAAATATCTATCTACCTATCTATCTATCTATATATATATGATAAACATACTTTTAAGGTATACTATATTTATGAGTTAAAGTGATCGATATCAGGATTAGAGCGTATGTAAATATAAAAGCGGACATTGAGGTCAACAGCCAGTGGCGACAGTCTGTTTCACGCCTAAACGCAATAGCCTGGCGATATATATATATATATATATATATATATATATATATATATATATATATATATATATATATATATATATAGATAGATAGATAGATATAAATATATATGTTTGGGCGGGAAAACAAAAATCTCTGTACTGTGTAGGGGGTCGTATTAGCATTATTGTAAGCGACATGGTCATAGACGTCTTAATGAACGCACACCAGTATAGTAGTCATATTTATACCGTTTCAGCTAAGATGGAGCTGCCATGTAAGGAGAATGCCCATTGTAGACTTCCGAGAATTGTACCGTATAATCAACTGGCCAGCGTAATGTTAGAAGACTCCTTCTGAGATACAAAGAAAAAAAAATCAAAAGGTCATCAATGATTAATTTTATTGCAATCGAAAAACTTTAGAGAGATCGTCTAAAACCATGAAAACTAGAGAAATTCTTACAATACTGGAGTCAACCAATTTGTGAAATCTAAGATGGAACATGTTACTGAAACAGAGTGTACATTTAATGCATCAAGGCAAATTCAATTTAGCCCGTAGTGGTGTCATGCAGCAGACACAGACATAAACAGCAAACGGTGTGAAAATAGTAAGTTTTTGACACTCGTGTAGCCAAAACGGTAGGAAAGTCCATATTATATATAAGTTGATTTTTTAGTTCGGCATTATTTATTATTACAATAACATTAATTTTAGTTGGCACTCGTGCTTGAGTTGACATCCCTGTTTTTATATATTTTTTTTAAATTGTTATTAATATCAACTACCATAAATCAAGAAGTCCTAAAGAAATGTGTGCTGATTCACAGGATTCGAAACTGTATTACTTTTTCCGTTTCAAATTAGGCTACAAGTAAAACAAAAGGCGTATCAGGAAGAAGAGTCTAAGAACTAAATATGTCATCCTGTATGCACTGAGTCAAAAGCCTCGGATCATTTCCTTGAAACAGGAAGTATCTACAGAATCTGCACACAGTTATCATCTGTCTTTATAGCCAATGAAATTAACTGTGGCGCAGGGTTTAGGACACGACTCAAGTCGAGGAGGTAGGTAGATAAAGGGCGAGGATACAAAACCATTGATAAAACACTACAACTTCATCTGCCCACTGTTGTTCTGAGAATTTGCAATTGAAAGTAATGTAGCTCGTTATTAAAGAGTCCTTTCTTTGGTTTCCCATGAAGGATTTTAGTCAGGCTGCGTACAAATTTAGGCTATGTGCAGGATTGTAAGAACGACAAAGAAAAAGCCAATGCTCTTTAAAAAAAATTGTTGGTAGATCTTCAAGCATCAAAGACAACAGTTACATCTAAAACTACTAAACAGATACAGGACACATTGAAGGTGTGAAGGGTAGAAGGAAACACCGAGAGATCTACTTAACGAGTTTCTGAAGAAATAGCATATTGTTATACCATAGTACCTATTCTGTTGTAATAGACTCTCCCACAGATAAGTAGTAATAGCAGTGGCCAGTTGGGCTCAGTGGTGTTGAGAGAGTCAGTCGATATCGGACATTGAAGTACCAACCATCACAACTAGATTGCTGCGTCATTAACTCTTATTTCAAGTTCCTGACGTTTTGTACGTCGAACCTAATTTGGGACGACTTATTGAAATACAAGCCTCCACTGTGAAAACTACTCTACAGCACATATGGAGTTTGAAGTTTACTTAGGAGCACTGATGTAAGCCAGATACGTACTAGAATAATATTCTTTGACCTGATGAGACAAATACAGTTCTTTGTCCTCAATTCATATAATCAAATTTGAAGGAAGAAGAACCAAGAAATGAAGCCAGAGAATATTATCCTATTCTGTGAAACAAGGGGCAGTAATATAATAATATGGCTTTGCTTTTAATCACATTGTACAGATACGGCATAATCAAAGGAAGGATTAATGGTAACATATACCGAGATGTATAGATTAAAAATCTCTTTACATCAGTCAAGATTTTAGAAATAATGGGCACTTGAATATTTCAGCCGGGCAACGATCGTGAGGAATAATCTATATCCCACCAAGAGCAGGCTATGACTGAATTTCTTGATACCAACTGTTTGTTGTCGCTTGATCTCAAAAACCTTAATTCATTCTTTTACTCTTGCATTTCCCTAGTCCTGGATATGACGATAAACTACATCCGGCAGCAAGGCCTCTGATCGAGAGAGTAGAGGTTTTGAAGAACCATCTCTTAATTCTTGCTGTCTACCCTAATCCGGGGTAGTAGCAACTGTTAATGTCCCAGCTATGGGCAAATAGTGAAACCCCGAACAAAATACTATGGAAGTATAAAAAATACCTACAAAATGCAACTAAAACTGAATTGCATCCCCACCTTTATATAATAATGACTAGCAGTAGAGCCCGGCTTTGCCTGGGGATGTAACAGTAAGAGATAAATCAAGTATCGACCATCATAAAGACTGAAAAATAAAATTAACAAAGATTATTGTTTAAGATTGACGGACACGCATGTCTTAATTAGTTTTTTTCTTTTTTTTATACGAATTTGTCAAACCCAAACAAAAACATTGTTTTCAATCGTTATGATGAGTCTACTGATTGAATAGAATTTTATTATAAACAATTGTCTTGTAAATGGAATTTTTAATGCATTCTGAATGTAAAAATAAAGAAAAAAGTGTGCAAGACAATAAGAAACACTACCTGCCAAAAAGAAAAAAAAAGTTTTGTTGAAATTGGTTGAAAAATGTAGGAAATCCAATCCCATAATAAACGAACACACACACAAACAACCTGGGTTTTATAATAAGTATAACTCGATATGAGTTGTCCCCCCTTTCATTCTCGTGATGCCTCTTAATCGTGTTTTCAAATTGATTTCGTGCAAAAACAATTGTGTTTTTCCAATTTTTGGCGCTGTTAGAACCACCGCAAGGTAATTTTACGTAGTCCTGTGAAGTTTTGTTGAAATCGGTTGAAAAATGTAGGAAATCCGATCCAATATATAAACGTACAGACACACACACACACAATCTGCGTTTTATAATAAGTAAGATATATAAAAGAATTTATCTGCAAAATAGAATAAAAAAATATATCTTAAAACTACCCGATTCGGCGCGAAATGACCTGTGGGGTTGATATGCCGGTCAAATAACCTATCTAAATCTCTTGCATCTCCCTTCGGTAAACTAGGTGTTGCTTAGAAGATTCGACTTCAAAGATTCCATTCGTTGGCTATAAAAGAGAAATACTTAAGATCCAGATAAAAATCACACTTTTCTCTTCTATGCGGGTGTCCCAATCATAGTGCCTCGCGTATATGACGATAGGAAAAGAAAACGTCTACTCAGATGGTCGAGTTCGCCATACCAATTGCAACTAAAGTAATTACAATGTTTTTTTGACAATAAAATAAATTTTCCAGCATGAACACCCGCAAGCGATATAATTTAGTTCTTGGAACGGTAAACAGAAGCAATGTTCGGGTCGATTTTGATTAAAGACGTGGGATAGAGACTAAGCAAAATGAGTCGTTGTGATTGAAAACGAGGAGAAAAAGCCTAAAAAATGACGCTCTCACGTTGCCTACCTTTTATGATTTATGGACTCATGGAAGAGATAGCAATTCTAATTGATTTAAAATGATTGATGACATTTCAAACAAATACACCTGTCCTGGGAACACGCATACATACGCACCTGCACAGATACATATATACATACTTAAAAAAATACCTCTACAAAAATGAACA